TAATTTGTCGATAGAGTTAGAGATGGACTCTTGTGTTATATCGATAAATATAGTGCTATAAGTCGAGATTGTTGTGAGATGTTTCATTGAAAAATTGGAAATTTTATCACTAGGAGTGACAGTTTTTTGGGATTGTTATTTAGATAGAAAAATTAAAATGATTATTGTAGAACTCTCTTGCGATGGATTTTTTTGAGCTCAAATCTTTCTATCTGATTATTATTATTTTTTAAATATATTTTTCATCGATGGCACACGTCGATGTTAATGCTAATCGGCTACACTGTGAATATTTCTTGTATCGTGTAATTATTTTATTATTTTAATTTCTTGCAACGTGATCTTTGTTCTTTTATCATGTTTTTTTTAACGTATCACGTTTCATCTAAATCGAAGATTATCTTGTGAGAGCTGTTGTGATCCATTACTACCCATTTGTAAAAAATAAATTATTGTGATATAAAAAAAATGTATGTTTTTTATTTTTCTTGCTACACGTTAGGTTCCTCTTTAATTATATTTAATGCTCTAACGAACTGGTTTACACGGATCGCCTGGTGTTAGGTGATCGTCGGAATTCAAGCCGTCGCCCGCTTCGAGATGACAGCTGTCCTTCCGGCAAGACGATTTGGCGGCAGAAATAAGCAGTGGAGGGGTATTTCCCTTTAATTGAAGATAGTGTACATCGATCAAAAAGATAACGCCGCTGATATTGAAATATATACAGGTGGTAGGATGTCTTGTGAGTCCGCACAGGTAGGTACTACCAGCCCGCCTATTTCTGCCGTGAAGTAGTAATGCGTTTCGGTTTGAAAGCCGTTGTACTGTAAAAACTAGGACCTTAGAACTTATATCTCAAGATGTGTGGCGCATTTACATTGTAGGTGTCTTTAATCTCCGGTAACCACTTAACGCCAGGTGGGCCGCGAGCTCGTCCGCTAACCTTAGCAATAAAATAGAAAAAAGATATGAGGTCGAGGTGAGGATATGACTCTCAATATTACTGTAAAACTGTCCTACCCTTTAAATCGGAAAGACTGATCGCTTTGCGGATCTGGCTCATGATGGGTGCGCGAATCTGTACCATATCACTAGTAACTNTAATCTCCGGTAACCACTTAACGCCAGGTGGGCCGCGAGCTCGTCCGCTAACCTTAGCAATAAAATAGAAAAAAGATATGAGGTCGAGGTGAGGATATGACTCTCAATATTACTGTAAAACTGTCCTACCCTTTAAATCGGAAAGACTGATCGCTTTGCGGATCTGGCTCATGATGGGTGCGCGAATCTGTACCATATCACTAGTAACTCTACTTATATCGATGGCTAGACTGCCCGCTGGCTGCGCGACCCGCGAACTCCAATCGTGTTGGAGTTTGAATATGTATGTAATGGCAGGCAACACTTTCCACATGTGAAGTGACAGTTTTCGAATATCGGAACGTTTATTTAAACTAGAGGTCCAGCACTAGTCGAAATTCGACTATAATTAATTGGAATTGTTGGAGTTTGTACACTATTATGATTGTATGTTTTACTTCTATAATCACAAATTTCGCCAAGACTACACTATAAAAAATATTAACAAAGACAAACAATATTTAATCTATTCTCAATTTGACAACAAACGTCAAGAACAAAAGTTTGACAATAAATAGTATGCATGCGTGTGTGCATCAAATACATGGTATGTAGTGTGTGTAATGTTTTCTTTATTGATTTAATGTATCTTTTACGCATTATTTTAAAAAAATATTAGCATTGTGCACTTCTTCTCTATATTCTCTATAAGTGTGGAAAATTTCATACTCCTCCGTCCGCGCAATTTTCGTAAAAAGGGATACAAAGTTTTTGCTTCACGTATTAATATAGTATAGATGTTATACCAAATGAAATTGTCTTCTGTTATGGCAACTTACTTCTCATCTAGACACAGACAGTGAAACATCCTAGGGTTATATAAACATAAAATATTGTAAAATATGTAATAGTGTTTGTAATATATATTAACAATGAAGTCAATGTTTTAAAATAGCCCCTCACCTCCAAAGCCCAGTTCCCTTAAATAGAACCGTCTAACAAATCGCAACCTTTTTTTTTTCGGGCCGAGGGCCGATCCTCCTTCGAGGTCCCCGCTCCTAGGGGACGCGCGGAGTATGTCGTCGTCGTCAATCTGCAAGGTGTTGGAAGCAGACCGCGGGCCGGGTTAATATGCCCGATCGACGGATCGCCGAGTCGATAGTCGACGACCAATGGCCCTACCAGGCCGCCCTGGCGATGCCGCTGGTGTTCCGAGATACCCCGCTGGGCCAGAACCACGATGGAACGCGATACACCACCTACCGGGTTGCTCTTCCACAGTATGTTTGGCGACGACAGCGACGGCGACAATGCGGACACGACGGTCGGAAGTGACAAGTCCGGTCCTATTTTTACAACGAGGTCACGGCGCTGCTGGGGCAGTACGCGAGCGCGTGCTCCGCCGCGTCCTCGTTGCAGCCACTGCAGTGGTGGCACTTCGGCGTCGGCTCCCTCCGGGCGACGAGGTGCAGGTAGCGACCGAAACAGCCGTGTCCCGTGAGCACCTGCGTCGCTCGGAAGGTGAGACGTCCTCGGTCGCGATTCACCCAGTTCGAGAGGACCGGGCGGATCGCCTCGATGGTCCGTCGCCCGTAGGAACAAATCGCAACTAATCAAAACGAGCTCTTAAGTTACAAAGAATAAAACACAAAATTCAAAAAGTTTATTTATTTATTTCATATTCATTATATACAGTCTTTAATACGTGCAAAATAAATGTACACTTATTTATGAAATACAACAGTTGGCACACTTACGTTACGACACAGAGCGGTCACGAACCAATACACTTTAGTGTTATTCATTTTTACGATCACAATAATTTCTAGCTGTTAGAAATATATAGTTTATCCGATGCTAGAATATTCCACTCACGAACAGCACCTAATTAATTATCTTCGGTTTTCGTGAGTCAAATACACAATTATAACTATTATTACGGTTTAATTCGGTTTTACTATTGTTTAAAAAGAAATGCTAATGTTATAATAGACATATTGTTTATAGGAAATTACGACGGTAGCGAAATAATTGTGAACGGATCACGCCAATCCATAAATAGATATATATCCAGTGGGATAGAAGAATGCCCTCGATCAGGGGAAGAACACTACATGACGATCACGACCAGTCCAGTCCATCAAGAGTGACACGACTGAGAAGAAGAAAATATATATATATATATTAGTCGTCCGTCACCGCGGAAACTAAAGTATTCGAAAGATCAGAAAGAATACAATGACAACGTAAACCTCAATATTAAACCGATAAAATTATTTATATTTATTTAATTGTTCTAAAGTTCTACAGAGTATTGAAGACAACAAGATAAACTTAGTGTGTTTTAATCAGCAAATAAATTATTAAAATAGATTTCTTCATAGAAGTCAATCAAGAAATGAATACAGTGCAAAGTTAAAATTACTAACATATGTATGTACCATATGTACTTACTGCTCAGCGTGTGCGACAAGGAAAAGTAATGAAAAATAATTGTGATACAAATAAAATAAATATTTTTTACTTTGAGAGTTGATATGCCTGCAATGTAATATAAAGAGATCGTTGACCCCGAGCGTCATCTCATTTTTAATTGTGTTCCATTGACGGCTAAGTAAAACAAAAAAAAAATTGACATTTTTAGGAACAATTCTAATACACCTTGAATGTATCTTATTATTCAAGTTGGCGTTACTGTTTTAATTTATGGTCTTGTTTAAATATTTTAGTCTCAATTAGGATAAAGAACATAAAATCACAAAAAATTTACAAAGTAGTACAAAAAATATATTGTTTTCCAGCATGTAATGTACTGTAATTATTTTGTCTGGTACAATTTTTTTATACAAAGGAAAATGTTCTTTTTTTGTACTTAAATGAAAAATCTATATTGTTCTTAAATATTGATAGTTTTTGTATAATCCCTTACAATTTGAATTTTGGCCTTCGCAAAAAAAAGGCGTAATCCAAAGTGTATGAAATGTAAGACTTAAAAGTAAAAAAACAAACATTGAGAGATCCTAATAATACCGAAACTGAGTAATTCGTAACGAGCTTACATTAATTTATAAAGTACAAAGAGTACGCACATGTCTATAGTACAATTATTTTGTCCGGGCAGTTTGGGTCATAAAACATAGCTCGGCTAGGACGGTGAGCATGTTGCGCGGGCGCAACGCCATTATCGATAAAAACAAATAAGTCATAGAAAGCAGGTACTCAGCGGCGGGGTGGTATACGAAGGGTGGTGAGACATTGTTATGTTATGAATCATTTGTAGTACCTACCTGCAAATTATAGTACATTATGTCGAAGGGAAATGTGTTGTTATGCATTTGTTCTCTGAATTTCTTTAGTGACACAATGGCTACTCTTTTATTTTGTATCAAAACGGCAGAATTTATTCAAAATAATATTTGCACGTGTTTTTATCAACAATGTGTTGATAATATTTCACTAAAATAAAAATAGATCCCGAAGAGTTACAAAGTGTTAATTTCTGGCGTTCTCGTTAACTCGCTGCGGCGACATGTGTTGGAAGTGTTCGATTAGTGATTTTTACATTCATTTTTATCACTAACCTACAAAATAACAAAACTAAATCTATCACTATCGATAACGCTTATCGAAAACAATAATGCGCATCACTATGCCCGTCCATAAGGCTCGTGAGCGGAAGAGAGAGCGAAATATTCGCTTCACCGCTCCGATTATTTATGACTCAAACTATTAGTAATTCTACTATAGTCTTATACCTTTAAACGAGCAATTCTTGTATATATATAATCTGAATCTCGGAAACGGCTCCAACGATTTTCATAAAATTTAGTATACAGGGTATTTTTCGGGGGCGATAAATCGATCTAGCTACGATTTATTCTCAGAAAATGTTGTTTTATTCGTGTTTTCAATAATCAACTCTTTCCGACATTTATTGGCCAATAATAATACTATTTTTCTTAATTGAGGGCAACTAACCGCTTTAAAGACACAACAAGATGGCGGTCATCATCTAGTGATATCTATTTGTCCAGTCGCGGCGTTCCTACCCGCGCTGTGGGCGGCGGCGGCGGCGGCGCGGGGTCAGTGACCGTTGGGGAGCGCGGCGGGGGCGCGCACGGCGCCGAGCTGCTCCGCGTACTCCGAGTACAGGCGCTGCCAGCGGAGCTGCTGCACCAGCTGCGACAGCATCTCCTCCAGCATGTCGTGCTTGTTTATACCCTGGAAGTTGCATCTTCAAAATAATACAGCCTTTTTGTTTCATCGTAAATTAAACAGAGTAGCATGTCTCTAATTTTCTGTAAATTGACAATGCAAAAAGAAAATCTGTTTATCTTTATCATGAGATATTGATCCGTAATATTGAAATCACGAATATTCTACTTAATGCCTCTATTGTTAATATATATTGTTATACCGGTAAGAATAACGCCATCTATCGCCGAATAGCAGAAACGAATATCGAATGTAGTACACTTAGTAAAATCGAGAGGTATAACGCCATCTATTGTCAGATACACATCGAAGCTACTCGACTTGTCCAGAATGTACTCGATAAATCCAGGGATGTCGTATCGACTATAAAAGTGTTGCAGATATGACACGAAGGCAGTTAATAATCGGAACACTCGAAGCGAAACAGCGAACAGATCACCTAAAGCGAAGCAGAAGAAGGTTATTAAGAATTTTAAAGTGTACATTGTTTCTAAGTGATAAATACAGTTTTAATTTATACTTGGGTAGAATTTTTATTTATTCCGAATCTAATGCGTAACAATATGTTTAAATAGCACCCTGTCTATTTCTGCCGTGAAGCAGTAATGCGTCATCTCTATTGACAAAAACGGTTGTGCCACACACGTCAGTGGAGCTACGGGCGGGGGGAGAGGGGGGAGGGTGTCACTCACCAGCACGGTCGCCTGCCAGCAGCTGGGCGCGGAGGTGCAGTGGCTTGGCCCCAGCATGTCGTCTAGTATCGTTCTCAGCTGCTCCTCCGAGCCTGACTCAAAGAAACACAGACATCAGTGCGTGCGGGGTGCGGGAGGGGACCGCAGAGTCGGCGCACGTACCGTGGTGCACGAGGTGGGCGAACAGCGCGGTGAGCCAGTGCCTGTAGTCCTTGGACAGCCGCAAGTGCAGACACGACGCCACCTGCGCCTCCAGCCAGCTGCGGGCCGCCTCCGCGCTGTATGCGCTGACACAGAAACACTCACTCTTATAATCGAATAGCTTTTTTCTCCTACCTAAGCCAAAAGTTCGGTTTTCCTCCCACTGTACAAGGATGAAAGTCTAACTTTTCCTCCAGCTGTACAGGGAAGAAAGTTTAACTTTTCCTCCCTGAGTACAAGTGCGCATGCGCGTTAGTGTCTACGTCTGCTCTCAGGCACCTAAAATTCTCCGCCATTGTTGTGATCGGGTAATTTGCAATATTGTGTTCATCAGACAGTTCTTATTCAATTAATAGTAGTTTATTTAAAAATTTAAAAAGTTAAATTGTTTTTTTTTGAGTACGGCCACCCGGCCTACTACCCCCGGCCAGGGCTTCGCCCCTGGACCCCGGCTCGGTGCTCCACGAACTTTCGGCCTGGCAGGAGAAAAAATAGTATGTGCACCGCGGGAGGAAATGTCCAACTTTTCTCCCGCGGTGCACAATGTCCTATTATTAAAAAAAAAGCTTGTGGTGTATCGTATAGTCCCCGGCACGTAACTTGGCAAGAGTCGTTAGATGCGCACAAGTGGTTTTTTAGGTCTCTTTGGTTGTCAAACGGGACGCGGGGAAAGATGTAGCACCGTTCCGAGCGCGCGATTGTTGCGTCAGTCGACCCTTGCCTCCCGCGCCGCGTCTACGTTCCGTTCGCTCCCGATTACACTTGCGTCTACTAAAGTTGTAGGTACCCTTTGTTTATATTGAGTTTTTGTTACGAGTGTTATTGTTTTAAAATTTTAAATATAATTATACATATTTTATGAACAGATATGAGTAGAAGGGTTATTTTGATAATATCCTGAAAAGCACCCCACGCCTTTTTACAATAAAATCATTTTTTCTTACACTATTTTTAATTCAAATTTATTAAAAAAAAATTCTATCTTTTAGTTGAATTTTCTATAAAAGCTTATTTTGTTAGTTTTTTTAAACTATTATTTAGAGAGAGAGAGAGAGAGAGAGAGAGATAGAGTATTCTTTATTGTACACCAAAAAACAAATAAACAGTGCGATACATGAAAAACAAAAAAGTACAATTGGTATTATTTACTTTTTCTTAACTTGCAGTTCTGTGTGCTCAGTGCGAATTTTTTAACTCTGGATCGTCAATCTTTATGGAATTGGGTCAGCACCCCAGGCGGCCAACATACCTAGTGTTATTTGGCGAGTGCGAAATACTTGTTCACTTTACGGTTGGTTTAATCGAATGACTTCACCTCGAATGATGTGTGTACGAGAGCGCGAAATTAGTGGATTTCGACTAAGCACTGGTCTTAAGACCAAGTTAAAGGTGCACATAATTTTTGGCTGTGAAAAGTATAGTGCAGTGCAATCGCAACCCACCGGAGGTGAGCCGGCGAGTAACGGATGGGTTAAGTGTACTTCGGAATTACAGGTCGTAACGTACACTCGAATTGCGCAGTGTCAATTAGTTCGATTTGCTTTACGGAACTCCGCACTCTGAACTAAGCACAGTGTGTATGCCAACGCCTGTTAATCTTCACCTTATAAACTGTTTTTCGTAATGCCAACAGTCAATGTACGTCAATGTATGACGACGCTTGTAGCTGAAAGTAAGTATTGTACTTTTGACGAAGCATGTTGCTGATAATAACATGTACTTTTAGGTTTACAAAATAATATTTTGTGTTTTAATAAAAGTTTAAGTTAATAAAAGTTTATAAGTATTAATAAAAGTTATCTTATCGAAATTACTGAATAAAGAATATAATATAATAATATTAACTGTGTGTACAATAAAGAATAAAAAAAAGTTTACAGTATATATTTTATGAACTATCCAATTCACTACGTGCAGCAACAGTCATGCAATACGATAAATAAATGTACGGAATTTGTCGGAGTTTAGTTTTGCACACCCTGTATTTGATAGGTATAGGGCGTGTGGCGTAGCGTGCGGTACCTGCGCGAGGGGGCGGGGCGCGCGGTGCGGGGCCGCGGGTACAGCAGGGGGGCGGCGCGGGGGGGCCGAGTGGCCGCTACGCCCGCGCTGGCTCGCCACACCGGGTCGCACGTGTTCGTCCACACCACCCTGTACAAGTGACGTCACACTGTACTATACTCATATCTTTAAGACTGCAATACATGTTGGTCGAGCTTAGGCGAGCGTAGGCAAATTAATACAATGCAAGTGCTACTAACCTACACGTTCGGCAAGTTTACCGAAAACCAATGCAAATGGCCAATATACGTTGGGCTCCTTCAGTTGAGAGTGACATTTTGTACGCGCACACACGACCGACGCCAACCACGTAATGCCGCGCTGACAAACATATGGACAGTACTACTGGCCGAGTGCGCGCGAGCGCCTTTGATTTGTGCAGAAAAACCGACAGCGCTCCGAAGTGCGGCAAGTGGTCGCCAGCGACCGCAAGTTGTGACAAGCCACGCCAAATGAGTTCTACACACGTTGGCGCTTGACTTTGCTCGGCCAACTAGGCGAACGACTCCGAGCGATGGCAAGACAATGCAAATATACTGTCTATACGTTGGTATTGGCGTTCACTCGGCGACGCTCGGCCAACATATATTGCAAGCTTTATATATATAATTCTACTGTACGTGTGTGTCACTGAACTCCTCCTAAGCGGCTGAACTGATTTAAATGATTTTTTTTGTATGCGTTTGGGTGGCGTCCTGGATGGTTTAGATTCACAAATCAGCCCGGCAGATGGCGCTGCAGTCGGTATCTAGGTTATTTATCTATACTGCAACTTAACGGCTGGATCGACTTAAATGAATTTTTATGTATGCATTCATTCATTTCATTCATTTTGTGTATGCAGGACAACGTCTGTCGGGTCCTCTAGTTGTTCCTTATATAGTAATACTCTACGAGATTATTTAGTTGAACAAATTAATAATATATACAAATTTTTGTTTTCTCATTACATTCCTAAATTATTTAACACATTTTCAATCAATCAATTTTCAAAATATATTTTTTGTCCAAATTTTACATTAGATATAGATTTTATTGTTGTTTTATGTGTGTTCCATTATTTTTTTAATTTGTAATCTAAATGAATTTTACAATTAACTCACCAGGCGCACAGTTTCTGGCTGTATATGTAAGTCTTCCCGTTGCTTAATGAGATCAAAGGGTTGCCGTCCTCCAGCAGAGAACAATTCGTTACCGTAGCTGAAATTTTTTTTATATTATTTTGTAGTAATTTAAAGTATATTTAGGTACAACTATTATCCACGTCAGTTATGCATAGCCACGGAAACCGTGAGGTGTTGGAGTGAATGGAAATAATGTAATGACAACGAGAATTAAACTTTTACCAGAGTTAAATGCGAGATTAAACCGTAAAACTGGTTTGAATTATATATGTATATATTAGATTAAGTTTAAAACTACCCACAGTGTCAGCAAAAATAGGTCTAATTATGTCCACAGTTTGTGAAAGACCAAAGAAAACACTAAGTATTGACTGTGGTATCCTAAGCAGTATATCGTCGTTGTCAAACCAACATCTGTTATGTGCACTTTTTGAGATTTTTACTTTTTTACCTTTTCGTATAGTTCACAGCCCTATCTACCGTATAAAGAAAAACTGTTATGTGTTTATAGCTTTAATAATATTTTTTTATGGGTGGACGAGCTCACAGCCCTCCTGGTGTTAAGTGGTTACTGGAGCCTATAGACATCTACAACGTAAATGCGCCACCCACCTTGAGATATAAGTTCTAAGATCTCAAGTATAGTTACAACGGCTGCCCCAATCTTCAAACCGAAACGCATTACTGCTTCACGGCAGAAATTCACCTTCATATAAAATTTTATACGAAAATGTTTTTACTCGTTAATTCAAAATAGTTTTTGCAGTTAGCAGATTTTGGTTTAACAGCGACGATATCACTTCATAGTATAAAACAAAGTCGNTTGAGATATAAGTTCTAAGATCTCAAGTATAGTTACAACGGCTGCCCCAATCTTCAAACCGAAACGCATTACTGCTTCACGGCAGAAATTCACCTTCATATAAAATTTTATACGAAAATGTTTTTACTCGTTAATTCAAAATAGTTTTTGCAGTTAGCAGATTTTGGTTTAACAGCGACGATATCACTTCATAGTATAAAACAAAGTCGCTTTTTCTGTCCCTATATTACTATGTATGCTTAAATCTTTAAAACTACGCAACGGATTTTGAAGCGGTTTTTTTAATAGATAGAGTGATTGAAGAGGAAGGTTTATATGTATAATAACATCCATTAAGTAGTGGAGAAATTAATCATAAATTACAGTTTCCGAAGTGAAGCGAGGGCGGGTCGCTAGTGAAATATATAAATAAACAGTATGTTGCTGTTTGTAAGTCACCTCCAGGGGTCAGTAGGGATCTGAAGCAGAGTGGTCGCACGAGGCAGGCGGCGGCGGCCAGGTCCCAGATGGCCAGCTCCGCCGTCACCGTCACCGCCGCCAGCGTGTCCCCACACAGCGTGAGGCGGGCCGCCGCCGCCGGCAGTGCTGTGGGCGCACACGGACTAAGGTTACGTCATCGCCAGCGCACAGCTACGTGGACTTTTTGGCGGGAACGCGAGGAGTGAAGTTGTGTGATTTGTTTTATTTTGTCTATTTAGTGTTTCTTCAGGTTTAAATGTGTAATAATGGTGATTTATTAACTGTTTAATATCTGTGAAAGTGCGCAAATGTGGGAAAATGAAACAAAGCCACTGGACGTGACTTCTCGATATCCTCCAAAAAGTCCACTGAAAAAATCTCAGTAAATGACCACCATCTTACCGAGGTTATATTTCAACCCATATCATCTCATCTCATTTCATTTAATTTCATCCCAGTTGATTTAATGTCTCAAGTTAATCATCTTCATTTAATTTTATAATTTTTCATAAAAATGTGAAAATAAATTAAAATAAGACATGACTTAAAGGTCTTAGTTACCAGGTCATGAATTCCCTTTAAAAAAAAGCACAACTACGTAAACGTGTCTTGTTGAACTTCATTCTTAGTGAAATGGAAATGTTTAATTTTGTAAAACAATTGCATTGTAAAATAAAACACATATACAGGCTGCCTGGTTGAACACTTTACATATTGATATAGTGCTCAGAAATTGATTCTCGTTCGAATTAGGAAAAAAAAATCGGTGCTTAATATTTGCCTAATTTATCTTTAATTATCTACTCAAAACAATAAGCGTGGTCACCCGCGTCGCCCGTGCGTTTTAACAGAATTTGTTTGTTTACACCGGTCGACGATCGCGGCATCGTTTGAACGCGGCGCGCTGATTGTACGCAACCCGCTCTCACCCGCCGGGTGGCGCCTTAGCACTGCGGTGTCCACAAATTTCGAATTTTAGTAAATTAATTTAATTAAGGACTTCTCTGTTGTATTTTTTAAATTTTACATTTTTAAACATTTCATATGACTATGGATTATCATGTCCTTGATTATGTAAAGTGTTCAACCGGTCAGCTTGTATTTCACACAGCATTAGAAATTAGCTGGCAACCAGCGCGGGAGAGTGCGGTGTTCGATCATCTCGCTATCTTTGTCGTCACGACTGATGTCTATATACGATACCGTGTGTGGAACGCAGCTGTCGTTGCACTCACCCAGCGGCGGCAGGGCCCGCGCGGCGTGCGACCGCGAGACGCGCCACGCGTGCAGCGTGCCGTCCGCGCACGACACGCACGCCCAGCGAGCGTCGCACGCGATGCAGCACACCGGGGAGCCTGCGCACCAACAGACGCTTTCGGTTACAGACACACTACCGACCGAGGGGGACACTGAGGGGGACGCGGTAAACGGAGCCCAATTTCAACTGGGCCTAATGTGTTAATGGTTACGACGATTTTACAAATAAACTGTAGCGTTATGACCTACATCTCACAGAACACTGCCGACCGAGGGGGACATTGGGGGGGCGGGGGACGCGGTTAACGGAAACCACTTTTAACTGGGCCTAATGTGATGACGGTTGTGACGGACAGAGGATTTTGCAAATAAGTTGTATCGTTATGCGCTACATCAGTATTTCTTATCTCAAAATAGATAGATAAAACCGGTCGATTACAAGAAAATTAAAAACATGCAACAGGTAATTAATATATTTTGTTAGTTTCAAATTATTGTTACCAGTACACATCTTTCTGCGGACAGTAATTTAATTACGATCATGATAAATATTCTGCTTACAGAGACAAAAACAAATGATCCCAGTTTTTTGTCTCTGTAATAAATGATTACAGAACAGTACAGTACGGACTGTTATTTCTCCGGATCTCGATTCGTATGATGCGTGTACGAGTGATATTGATATTCACCTAGATAAGTTTCCCAAACGGGATCATTCGAGGCGGAGTTGTTGGGTATGAGTTGCAGCCGGGACAGGGTGCCGAAATGTGTGTTGCAGGCTTTGTTCACCACCTGAAAATAGGTAATTAATATTGATTCCGGTAGTTTCAATTTTCATTTATAATGCATTAAGATATAGTTTAATAAAGAATAATCATAAAAACTTATAAAAAACGCACTTGTCTCTATTCACTCCAGCAGGGGGGGGTGAATCGGGTCGCATACGGGTACAATAGTTTTTCGATAGAGTTGGCACTATTTAATTGTTAATGATTAGGTTTAATATATTTAAGCACTAAATAAAAGTAATTTTCAGTTCGACAAGGTTAAATCAAACAACTCAACAAAAGTATTGTGACATCCCAGATTTGTCCCTATTCTAACTCTAGTCTCTATTCCCTCCCGATAGATTTACCGTATTCAAAAGAATAACCTGCAGCCTCAGTGGCCCAGCAGCTCTGACGACGGGGCCGGCCACGCCGAGCGCGGGCGCGGGCAGCAGCGGCGCGGCGGCGGGCGCGGGCGCGGGGGAGGGGCACGGCCGCTTGTGCAGCAGCTCGTCCGTGCGGGGCCCGGGCAGCGACGACGCCGTGCGCTTGCGCAGCCGACTGTCTAGACCGCTGAAACAAGATTATAACTTTCTGAAACTTGCACATTTGGCCGCTTTGTGTAGAGCAGCGTTCGGGGAACCGGGGTAAATTACCCCCAGTGGGGTAAAATGAAATTTTGGGGGGTAAAATGAAATTTTGGGGGGTAAAAATGAAACTTTTGTGAGTAAAAAGTATATATTGAAGTGAAACTTCTTTAGAGTCGTTGTGGTTTCAAACTCGATGAAACGAAATGAAACGAAACGAAAAAATGAGTCCATAAAGACACAAACACATAAATGTATAGGATTCACCCGGCGAGAGAATGAGATTTTTTTCCTCAACTGTATATTACATGTATTACTATTATTACCGTTATGTATTACTAGGTATATTACATTGATAAATTGAATAAATGATGTTTAAATTAAATTTTTAGTTATTGTTTTCTTTTCAAAATTATTATGGGGGCTTTAATATGAAAGATGCTAAAAAGAAGCGATTTTGTTTTTTTTTTGTTCTTCGCCAACTTCTTCTTACACAAAACTTCTTCAACTTAGACAAAAATGTTTTGGGGTGATAATTAAAAAAGTTCCCCGACCGCTGGTGTAGATGTCTCATAGTAAACTAAATCAAAAAAGTTTTTTTTTCTCCTACCTAATCGGATTGGTCTAGCTAGAGAGACCATATCAGCGTAACCTTAACTAGTAGGTGAGCTGACGGGGCTCAAACCTGACGACGTTGCTAACACGAACCCTAGCAAGAGCCGTGCTTCGCAGAATCTACTATCGGATCGGAAACGCGACCCACAGAGAAGATCCGGCGAGAAACTCAGTGGGCTGTATCTGTGGGTTAATTTACTCGCCGAGCCCTTTGTCGCAAGTGACGGGTTCGACGAGAACGATGACCGGAACTTTTCAAAAAAAAGTCTACTACTACCCTAAAATGAAATAAATTAGTGTTCTCATTCGACCGATACAAACAAAGGTTTTTCGAAATGTTCGAAAACGATATTGCTTTAAACCAGGTTCAAAGAGAGCTTAGTGATAGTCAGTTTAACTACGCCTTAAATATCCAGTTTGCCTATCCTATATGCCTAATAGTTTTAATGTCCCAGTTTGCCTTTAATATAATGTACATGAACAAACAACACAAGTCGTATAAATTCAGACGCACTGACAACTCGACACACGTGTTTGATCACTAAACAACAAGCTTTTTTTCCCCCGGGATGAAAGGTTCGCTTTTAGTCCCTGGCACGCGGGACAAAAGTACCCGATTCTCTAGGTTGAAAAAAAAATTGTATAAGCACCTAGGGAGAAAAGTAGAACATCTCCAGCAGAGATTGTCAATTCGCGGGCGTGAATGTCTTACTTTTCTCCCTCGGTGCGTAATATGCTATTCTTCAATCTTTAGACTCTTTATTTATAGTTGTATATTCTTACTTCTTATTCAAGGCTACTGTGAGATCTTACTAGTATGGATATAAAAGTGACCAACTTATCTGAGGTCCTAGAGTTGTTCTGCAGCGCGGACATGGAGTGATTGCTGACGTTCGGGTGTATCACGATATCGTCCCGGACTTCCACCCGGATCCTGGACTTGCTCTGCGAGGATGTGCTGAAACAGTTCTCCGAGCCGCCGGGCTGAGAGCCGAGGGATTCACTGCGGATTTAAAGGAATTCATTGGACGTCAAATTATCGCATCAAATACGGAGCGCAGAAGACGTGTACATTGAGTAGTTTGTAATGGAAAATACCAGAGAGTAGAGACACGAGAGAGAAAGAGAAAGGGAGAGAGGTATATATATTTGATCGTCTCTTAGTCTCTATTCTTGTTTCTGTTTGTCATTGTGACGAAATATGTTCCTTTCATTTTACAAAATTGAAGGTAGCTCAATGTTTCATGCTATAGTTTAAAGTACGTCGGCTGTTATTCCACTCAATTGCCTACCGTCTGGAGTTATAATTATGAATCTATAATATATTAATACGTGAAGCAAAAACTTTGTGCTCCTTTTTACGAAAATTGCGCAAACGGTGGAGTATGAAATTTCTCACACTTCTAGAGAATATAGAGGAGTGCAGAACGTTAATATTTTTTTAAATTACGCTTAAAAATTACATTAAATCAACAACAAAAAAACATAACACACACTACCACATATTTGACACACAACACATGCATACTATTTGTATATTGTCAAACTTTTCTTATTGCTTATAGTCTGTGGTCAAATTGAGAATAGATTAAATATGACTTTTTAGCGGGAACGCGAGGAGTGAAGTTGTGTGATTTGTTTTATTTTGTCTATGTAGTGTTTCTTCGGGTTTAAATGTGTAATAATGGTGGTTTATTAACTGTTTAATATCTGAGAAAGTGCACAAATGTGGGAAAATGAAACAAAGCCACTGGACGTAACTTCTCGGGATCCTCCAAAAAGTTCACTGAAAAAATCTTAGTAAATGACCACCATTTTACTGAGATTATATTTCATCCCATATGATCTCAATTAATTTCATTTAATTTCATCCCAGTAGATTAGTGTCTCAAATTAATCATCTTCATTTCATTTCACTCCGTAATATAATTTTTCATAAAAATATGAATAATACAAATTAAAATAAGACATGACTTAAAGGTCTCAGTTACCAGGTCATAAAATCTCATAAAAAAATAGATTAAATATTGTTTGGCTATAGTAAATATTTGTCTTAAGCATATCTGTGACACCGAAGTATAATAGTCTTTGAAAATAGAACCATAATAATGTTCAAACTTATAATTCCAATTAATTACAGTCGAATTTCGATACTGAGGGTCGACTAGTTTAATTAATTTCCCATTAGAAACACACGTTCTTCTTCCTTTAAGCGGACGTATACGTACTTGGCGTCGAGCTGCGAGTGCGGTATGAAGACGGGCGTGATGCGTCTCTTCCCGTCGGACGTGCGCGTCTCGATCTGTCGGTCCAGGGGCCGCAGCGGGCGCGGCGGGCCGGGGGACGCGGGCGACGACCTCGCCAGTGGCGCGCTCTGCCGGCACACGCTCGAGTTATAACACAAACACGTCGTAACAACTACGTACGCGTTCTTTTGACGTTAACTCTAAAATTAATAATTAATTTAACACTACATATTTTTTTACTGGTGGTAGGATCTCTTGTGAGTCCGCGCGGGTAGGTGCCACCACCCGGCCTATTTCGGTTTGAAGGGTGGGGCAGCCGTTGTAACTATACTTGAAACCTTAGAACTTATATCTCAAGGTGGGTGGCGCATTTACGTTGTAGATGTCTATGGGCTCCAGTAACCACTTACCTCCAGGTGGGCTACGAGCTCGTCAACTCACCTAAGCAATAAAAAAAAACATATTAAATATATATAACAGATATCACAGAAACAAGGTCATGCGGTAGACCTCTATATATTTAATTGAATACTTACTTGTGATTTCTCGCTCTTAGGCGTGGAATCTTCCTTAGCAGCTGCGGCAGCTTCCTTCTTGGCTTCCTGCTTCTCTCTGGCGAGCAGGATCTCCGGGCACTCTACCAGTAAGTTCGACGAGAGATCGCCGCCGGACTCGTTCGCCAAAACTTTACCATAGATCTTCTCGTAGAATGCGTTCTGTGAGCGCGGACAAAACCAGATTGATACCGCAATGCCGCTGTGTCGCGCTTTACTGAGCTTCTGCATTGTTTTATTGTTCTGTCATCGCAGCCTTTTCTTTTAATTCAAATATACCGAATTATATGAAATACCGAAACATTGTGTGTTACAAAATACTCCGTAAAAATATAATTAATTATGAAAGCAAAAAATTTTGTCAGCCCTAGTATGCTGTCATGTCAGGTAACTAGATTATTTAACAGAAAGGCCTACGTACCTATTTTACCGAATAATTGTCTACTTTAATAGTTTTTCTATTTTTCATTCATAAATTTTTGCTACCTCAATACAAGGATATCATTATACTTGAGTACTGGCTTCAAGAAATGTCAAGTTGGAAAAAAAAATGTTATCAATTTCAAATCTTTTAAAATTTTTATCTTTCCGCGAATTAGATAGAAATGTAGGAGGTACATTTTGCGTAGTTTACTCTTTAATTTTACTGATGTAGGGATTGCACACCAGTAAATATAATAAAATTTTTTTGGGGTATGTTATACAGCGCGTTACTACGGTTCTTAAATATTATGAATGGACTCGTTATAAGGCACTATTTAACCTCCTTTCGGCTTTAGGGTAGTTTTGTAACACCCTGTATAATGTAAATTGCACATACCTTCTCTTCCAGAGTGAGCGGTGTACCGATTTCTTTGTTCGTAAACTGTAGGCAAGCGACCGTTCCATCCGAACTACAAGCTAAAAGGCTGAGTCCTGAAAAAATAAACATTTAAAAGTAGTAAATTATGAATTATACTACTAATTGATTCTGCAATTAGAGCGGTAGAGACATATTCCACTGCTGCGACTGCATCGTTTAGTTCAACTTCCCCATACCGACTCTACAGTACCAACATGTTTCTTTCATGGCCGCGAGATCAAGCCTGAACTTGCCGGGTGAATTTTCCTACAAACCAGAACCCATGATGACTTAGCGGTATAAATAATCAGAAGAGTAACAATTGTTCTGAAGATTTATAATAAATTATGGCCCATAATATAAGGTACGGCGTAGGTAAGCATATGCCAAGTGATGCTAGTTGTTGTGTGTACAAAACCATACAGACCATAGCCCGTTTTGTTTCGCGTTGAGATCGCGAATCAGAGCACAGTATAGAGAAACAAAGCGTTATATTTGTTAGTCCCCTTACAGCAATGTTTTCTGGTTTGAAGGGAGGAGCGGCTGCGGTACTGTACAACTGCGACTTATTTATTTAAAAAAGTACTACCACGTCACAAACGTTTAACATTTAAAATAATTTAAACTATTTAATTTATGGCTTGATGCCTGTGACAATAATGGCGTACCTAACACTGTCAATTTATAGGCTCGAAGATGGAATACAATAATTAAAAAAAAAAAGAATACCTAATGAAAACATATTTTGAAATTCCAATTTAACAAGTAATACAGTAGTAATAATTGTTGAAACATTAATATGAATGTCTAATAAATGTCATGTCATATCAAAAAGAAAAGAAGAAATGTCAATATAATAGCAAGTAACAACAACTCAGTTATAAAACAACAAAATATGATTAACGATTAAAGTTAAGGTGGGTTTTTTCTTTCTTTTTTAATTTTGTCTTTAAATACACGCAACTTATCGTGGAACGCTTGGAACTTGGACTTAGAATCCTTGTCTTAAGGTGGCATTTACGATGTCGATGTCTATGGGTTCCGGAGACCGCCCAACATCAGAAGGACCAGCTCGTCCACGCATTTAAGCAATAAAAATAAAGAATAGTTTTAAAAAACTAACAAAGTACGTTTTTATAGAACCTTCAACTAAAAAATTTAAAATAAATTTTAACAAATTTCAATTAAAAATAGTCTAAGAAAAAATGATTTTATTGTAAAAAAAGCGTGGGGTGCTTTTCAGGATATTATCAAAATAACCCTTCTACTCATATCTGTTCATAAAATATTTATAACTACTGATACCATGCACCCCACGCTTTTTTAACAATAAAATCATTTTTTCTTACACTATTTTTAATTCAAATTTATTAAAAGTTATTTTCAATTTTTTTTATTTGATTTTCTATAAGGGCTTATTTTGTTAGTTTTTTTAAACTATTATTTATTTTTAATTTTTAGTTGAATTTTTTTTTGTTTTTTTTTTACTATTTATTTGTCATCGGTCCTTAATAAGTATACAAAATTTCGAGTTCATACGACATTTTGAAGGGGGTCAAAATCATGCTCAAAGATTCCGTTACAAACATACATACGTCTGAAGCTAATAAAGGCGTATTAAAAAAAAAAAAACTCACCATCGGAGCTCCAAGATATATCCAGGACGCTGTCACTGAACAGGTCGTGTATGACGACCAGCGGCCTCTTCAGCGACGTCTGCCAGATGCTGAGCGCGCGGTCCCGGGACCCGACGGCGGCACAACAGCACTTCTTGCCTTCCCTCACGAAGATGTTGCTGTTAAAGCGCTGTTAAAGAACCAGCAATTACAGGGATTTCCTTTAAGCAACCAAGGTATGTGACCGACCAAGTCGTCGGAGTTCAAACCATTGCCCCTGGCATTGCTGAAGTCCATGGGTGACGTTAACCACTCACCATCAGGTGGGCCGTGCGCTCGTCTGCCTACAGGGGCTATAAAAAAAAATCAAGTCCTTCAGGCAAGACGACTTCGCGGCAGAAATAAACTGTTCGGTATTTCCCTTTAATTGAAGATAGTAATTGACGATTGTGACGATACTGTACATCGATCACAAAGATAACGCCGCTCATATTGAGATATATACTGGTGGTAAGACCTCTTGTGAGCCCGCATGGGTAGGTACCACCACCTCGCCTATTTCTGCCGTGAAGCAGTAATGCTTCGTGCCGTGCTTCGCAGAATCTACCGCTGGATAGGAAACGAAACCCGCTGAGAAGATCGGGCGAGAAACTCAGTGGGCTGTGTCTGAGGGTTAATTTACTCGCCGAACCCTTGGGCGACGTCGACTGTTTACAATTTGGTCCGTAGGATCGGCTATGTGGTTACCTAATTCTATTGAAATAATAAGTACCTATCATTTATTTTAGATGCAGTTCAATATTAATGTATGTTAAAACAGGGTTTCATTAAGCAGTTGATAAAAAAAAACATGTTCTTTGAGTGTCTATTGAGTTAGGTTAGTGTATTAGTGGGGTTACTTGTTCTCCTTTTAATAAAAGTATTGCTAAGTGCGGGATGTATAAAGACAGTCACACACTGAACTCATTTGTTACCCAACTCATGTGCTGAAGTTCATAATTAAATAATAACACGTAATAGTTAGTTTATTGATAATCATCTAGTTTTTATTTATTTAACTTTATTTATGGAGACTCTATGTTTCTTACATGCAGACTTTCTATTATAATCACCATAAGTATTTACTTCAAATTAATTAGTTACTTCATAATCAGTGATACTAGAGCACCTTGTATCTAATTTATGTCCTCTGATTGTCAGAGGCTGTTGGCTGTGAGGTATTTTATCTACCCAGAGCAACAAAACAACCTGTAACAGTTTTGTCAATACCCCTAGTCGTTTAAAAGGAATCAACTCACAGCACAAGTTACAGCTTTTCTGTGACCCACGAAATCTTTATCACATCTCCAGCCATCTCGCTCCACGACCCTCGCAGTGGGACCGCCACGATTCATCGCGTGAGCTGACAAGACGTACTGGCCGTCCGGAGACCAGGAAAGACGAAGAACGTGGGTTGTGCCTGTAAGTATTAAATGACTGCAATTACTTATTTGTATTATTTAAAGATTGTAATAAAAATGTATGTATCTTCTTGTATGTATGTCTGTATAATGTGAAATTGCATTTTGTTGGTGGTTTTACTTGTTGTTAGCAACAACTTTTTTTTAATTACTGAAGGATTACTGGAGGCCTTATCAGTTTCACCACGACAGCAAAGGCTACCAGCTGCCAGCAGCTGCTTCGCGAATGAATCAGGTACATGATCGGAATCGCGACCCGCTAAGAAGATCCGGCGAAACTCAGCGAGTTCGACAACTACGGTTACCGGGGTCTCTAAGCCTGCTCCTAGTGTTAGAGATGAAGGCGTCTAATTCAAAGGTTATTGGATCTGATGGATCCGTAAGGATGAGGCAACAACTTACATTAAAGTAAAAACCCTGTTTTAATTACAAAGGATGTCAGGTTTTAAATTTCTGTAGGGACTATGTGGATTTTGATATTTAAGCTTTAACCATTAGAAGTACCAAGCTTTTACAGTGAAGAATTATTTAAGTTAAGTTTTGATGAACATACCCCCACATTCATAAAATGGTTTTGTGATGAGTGCCTCTTGTGCCCAATCAGTAGTCTTCCATAGCCTCAGGGTTTTGTCATCAGATTGCGATGCCAAATATTTGCCAACCTAAATTCACTTTACATGTAAATATTTCTAGGATTAATTAAGTCTGTATATCAGTCTTGTGTCCCGACTTTTTGAACAAAGTATTATGTTTTATGAACAAAACTTAAACATTAATATAGTTCTGATTTCAAATATTTCTATGTATCTTCTATTCTTTACCAATTTTATAATTCCTATTTCTATTTTAGTTGTTAGCTGGGTTGTTAGTGAAACTAATTTACTCCAGATTGAATGAAATAAGTTTTAATCATTTGTATGACATGAATGACCTTTTTAAATAAAATTGAATTTCATTCTTAGTTTCTCATTTATTATTGAAACAATAATTATTACTAATTCATTTTAGTTATTTTCTTTTGATTTTAAGATGCAATTAGCCATAAAAAACACAATTTTAATGCCATCACCCACCATAAGGCGCAATGCTAAAGCCTGAATTATATTATATTCAGAGAATCATTCTTAAATTTCACTTACAGGATCCCATGTAACACCCTTGACTAAGCCAGTGTGACCATTTAATACTGACACCATTTCCGGAAATTTCTCAGCATTCCATATAATGATTGTATTATCCACGCTGCAGCTAGCCAGCCATTTGTCTAACGGCGACCATGCTAGGTCTAAGACATCACCTGAAGTAAATAACTTATGAGCAGCGAAAGTGTATTGACTGGTTTGATAAGATACTGTACACTTCATGATTACTTGAAATTGATTGTTGAACAGGCTTCAGTTTATAATTTAATATAAACGCAAAATAAAATAAACAGCAACACAAAATAAAGGTGTTAAATTAACATCAAAGAAAATCTCGTGCTGATAAAAAAAAATTCTCCATGAATAGTAAGAAAACATGTACAACAATCCTATAAATCAAATCTACTTCATACTTAAATCCATTAAGAGTGATTTCCGTAAAATTCATAATTATGAGATGTATATAAATATTTGACTACATGATGTTGAAAACAGTAATAAAATTTCAAGATTATACTTTAATATATTGACGCTTGAAAGGGAAACATGACTAAGCAACAATGTGTGAACTTTACAGTAGGCTAATTTAAAGTTGAAATACCTGAAAAAAAATCAATTTTAATGAATCTAGCTTTTTTTATCTACAATCAGTATCCAGTACCTTTATTAGATGCGTTGATATTTTCTTAGTCAGTAACATAAGAGCGTGACTCCAGCGAGCCATCTACTCTAAATTTAAGATTTGTCATTGAACTACTATATGATGTCTCTTCTCTTGAGCTGTTTACCGTAACTTCGTTTTATCAAGGCGGCAGCCAGATTGTTTGGGTGCTTTTCCAATCGTTCGTGGTGTTTTTGTTTAAATTTTACGATTTCCTGCATTATTGTAGGCATCCCTAGTTCTGTGTATTTCAGTGTTTGTGACCAACCACAGAACACCACTTATGGAGCGCAAGATACAGTTTTGAATTCTTTGTATTATACTGATATTCTAATTGATTTAGGTGTAGGAGGTGTAGGTTTAGCTGTAGGATTGAAATTATTTTAATAGACCTAGCAAATGTATATTTTTTGCGCATCGAATACGGTTATTGCCTCTCCTTTATGTACAAAGCAGTTACTGTCGCTTAGTCACGTTTGCCTTTCAAGCGTCGATATATTTGCTTTGTACAAACCTGCATGCCCTCTTAAAGTAGACAAACACCTCCAGGTTTCAGCTTTGTGCTTTCCAGGTGCTCCAGGGGCCATACTAATACCCCACACCATAATCAATTTGTCATCTCCTCCAGAAGCCAGGTATTTACCCCCATTACTCCAACGGACACTATTTACACATGCTGCAATATGAGAGTAGAAAATTAATGCCTATGATGAACAAAAAAAATTCTTTTTACTGCACCTTTTATAGAAGGCCAGTATTCAATATCTATTGAAATATTTTGTGTCAATAATGTAGACTAAAAATTCAATTGTGTCAATACATAGGACATAAATTTTTTATATATATTTTTCATACAAGGGGTCAGCGTAAGTTGTCGCATTAAAAAGTGACTGACCGGTATAAGCTGCCGATCTTAGCAGTATAATTATAGTATTTAGTGAAACCAGCTATCAGACCAATGTAGACATCGACCATTTGTTAATAACGACGGCAGAGAATGACAAAACCGAGTATATTAGAATAAAATACATTTCTACACACGTTTCGGTGCATACCTAGGTGGTTGTCCATTTGGCAAATTATTTTTGGAACATTTGGGTCTAATTCTACGGATTCACATAGCACCGAGTTCAAGTTCCACACAACTACTCTGCCCGAGTATCCACCTTGTCCCCCGGTCGCAAAATATTTTCCAGTCGGATGTATATCCACAGAAAATATCGGTTTGTCTGTAAAATAATTTAAATAGCTTAATATTTTTGCGGAGATTTTGAATGATTTTACCATCTTTGATGTACAGACCATCGTGATTGACCCAACTGGGTTTTAATAGCTTCATTTAGCTAAGACTTTACAAATATTTTAGTGTAAAATTATTGATAAAGTTTTATGAATTGAACTTTATTTATTTTGCTTGCCTTGCAATATCATAGATTTTTTTTGTTACAATTTTTCCTTATTAGGAAAAGCAAGGGCTTCTCAGTCCATACNTACCATCTTTGATGTACAGACCATCGTGATTGACCCAACTGGGTTTTAATAGCTTCATTTAGCTAAGACTTTACAAATATTTTAGTGTAAAATTATTGATAAAGTTTTATGAATTGAACTTTATTTATTTTGCTTGCCTTGCAATATCATAGATTTTTTTTGTTACAATTTTTCCTTATTAGGAAAAGCAAGGGCTTCTCAGTCCATACCGCCTTATATATATCATAGATAATAAACATATGCAGTGCAGTATAATGGTAGGAACTAGGAAATCGATTTCATTTTTTCGATTTAAGAAATGTATGTTTCGCTTTTATTGAAGTGAAACTTCTAATGCAAATTATGTTAGTATAGCTAAATGAAACGATAGTTTCATAAAAAAACATTACTTTACTTTTTTTTAAAAACCAGCAATGAAACAGTAAATCAATAACAGCTGATGCACACTCGGATCAACGCAGACTCGTGCGATCGCAAACAAATACTTATTTACAACATTTGTTTAAATAACTAACTTATCTACTTTGCCACTGTGTTAGTCTTCACCTAGAATATCTGTCGCTCACATGAAAGTCTAAATGAAACTGCTTCAAAAACTAAAATTACGAACAAATCAACCCCGTCAAAGCTGTTGGAAGGTCGTGATGCTGTCCACGTATAATTGTCTATGATGCACTGCATTTGAATTTGAATTATGTTCCTTTTACTTTTGATGTGCGGTGTCATTCTGTATTATATTTTCTCATGTACCAGTAAGCACAATGTTTCAAGTATTTTTAATTAATTGCTATAGCCGCTAGTCCACCCTATCAAAAACAAACCGCTCTCTTTGCGGGCACTTTGATCATTTCCACAGATCGATAAAGCGTTAGACATTCTCAACTTTTATTTTAGCTTACTTATCCCTATTTATCACTTTTTCCTATAAAAAGGAAAAAAAGGGAAAAATAATTAGTTATTTAATACAACAATAGAATCAATTGTACCTTCACGTAACGTGGCATGGTCTACAAAAAATCATTGAGATATTTTAAATTCGAAATGATCGATTTGAATATTCCCGTCTTACTAGCGCTATGCTCAATGCTCATGTCATTAATGACAGATGTGTATGACAGTTTTCTAGTAAAAGTAATGTTGCAGAGAAGAAAAATACGTAGAATTGATCATTTTGGATATGGTATCTCGCTTTATTTCAAACTGAAAGACAAAGACAGAAATTTTGGTTTCATTTCTAACGTGAAATTTTGGGAAATTTTGAATAGTTGTGCGTACGAAATTAAAGATAGGCACGGCGTAAAATTTCGATTTATCTTGACCTGTAAACAACGGTATGCACGGGACCGACATTCTAATCCGAGCCAGATTTCTGACCCTCGTTAGTCACCTGTGTGCATCTATAACTTTGCTATGGGGGACAGAGCAGCTGGTTCTACCCTGCTTACCGAAAATCGGCGACGAGAATCTTTTCAATATGTACCACAACCGGTAAGTGAAGAGAAACATTCTCATAATTATTCATATTCAATATATTTAATATTTTTCATTTTAAATATAAATTTATGACATGTTACACTTTACAGCTTTTTATATTATTGAAAGATGTAACCTAAAAAAACAAATAATAATAAAGCGTTTTTTTTAATGTATTAATGGGTGGTATAGTCCACTTGATAATTGGTTACTGGAGCCCATGTAAATGCCACCATTCACACAGTATTGTAATTACCATAGCCTACCCTATGACTTACAACAAGAAATAGACAGATTGTTAGTACTAACTGTGAAGACTTACATTACAAGGCCCAGTAAAAATGGTCACTATAGTAAACAAATAAGAGCAAATAAAAAATATAAAATTTAAAATATGAGATATAAAAATAATTATTCTAGTATTGTGCTCGGTGCTATATACATTGAATTACATTTAAAAAAAAAAGCAATTGCCCTTTCAAAATTCCTACAATTATAATACCAAAACTTGGTTATTTTTACAAACTTCATAAAAACAATTGTTATTTACTAGCCAAGATCCTACATTGAATTAGGACTCTGGGCACATTGAACTGTTTTTTAAAATACATAACTTGTTTAGCTTAGTCATACTTTGTAGTGACTATCTCTGGTTATATGAAAAACATTGAGTTCTTGAAACCACAAATGTGTTATCTATTTTAAATTGACAGTATTTATTATTTATTTATTTATTACACTTCATGTAAAATTTACATTGGCGGACTTAATGCCTAAGGCATTCTCTACCAGTCAACCAAAGGTAGTGCAGAGTGAATATGTGCAATAGAAAAAGTATCTTGAAGTGTCAACATCATCTGTACATAGAAGACAAACATAAATTGATTTAACAATATGCACACAGAAGAGAATAAATCATTACTTAAAAAGTAGCTATAGAAATTTTAATAAAATTAAAATAGTTCATTTAATGACTGTGCTGATTTAGTGAGGGTACTTGTTCGCCTTTTAATAAATAGCTAAGTGCAGTTTGTATAAAACAGGCACACAGTGAACTGCTTTGTTATCCAACAGATGTGCTTATGTTCATAATAAAATGATAAAACATATTTACCATGTTTTTCCATCATAATTACCATTTATATCCAGCAGTCTCCAAGGCGTGGAAGCCTCATGTATGAGGTTTGGCCCCTTGTCCAAAAAAAAGCCGTTGTACTGTAAAACTGCGACTTAGAACTCATGTCTCGAGGTGAGTGGCGGCCTTTACGTTACTTTTCCTGCCTATGCTGATAGCCTTGAGAGGCTATTTCTGCGTTGCCTTAGCGTGTAGGTGAGCTCTCGGAGCTCAAACCGGAGGTGTTGCTAACACTGACCCTAGCAAGAGCAGTGCTTCGCAGAATCTGCCGCCGGATCGAAAACGCGACCTACTGAGAAGATCCGGCGAGAAACTCAGTGGGCTGTGTCTATGGGTTAATTTACTTGCCGAGTTCTTCGTCGCAAGCGACGGATTCGGTGAGGACGGTGACCGTTACTTGAGGTACCTAAAAGCACCGTTAATGGATCCTCCCGACCCACGGCGTAATGACGCCTTTAGGGCTGCCATCTACGGGCTCCGGTAACCAACAAATACCAGAGGGGCCGTGAGCTAGTCCATTCATCTACAGTAATTCTGAAACTAAAAAGAACACTAATTTTGGCAACAAAACATCGCATTTGGTTTTTGTTATTTTGCATTCAGTACGACATTGTTTGTAGCAAATAAATCGCGTGTAGCTCTTAATGTAGTATTTTACGTCGTCATAATTAAATAATTATCTCTCTGTCTGAATAATAAGAGAAGTATAATTGGAAAACAGTACATACAATATTACGAATATTTTTAACTATTCCTTATCTTCCATTTATGCCCCCACTTAATAATTAATAAATTAAAAATCAAACTAATAAACATAAAAAAATTATACGGGTAATAAATACTCTACTTAGTATTGATTTATTTTATTTATAGTTGCAAATTTTAAATTACCCAGTGATTATGACGTCCGGAATTATATTTTAGTACAGCTTAGCGTAAAGATTTTTCAGTAAGTCCACTTGTATAATTTGGCATATTATATTCTGGACAGCTTTTGGTTAATTTGTCGAGGTTTTTTTTGTCCTTCATACCGCAAAACCTAAAAACAAAAGTCCGCAACCGGTACAGCCTAATCATGACCTACGGAACCGAGATGTGGAGAATAGGCTAGCCTGAAAGGTTAAAGTCGCTGAGCGAATTCGGTGTCTCTCTAAGCTTTAAAATCTAAGGGATCGTATCCGGAACGAGTTATCGCCAAATAACCAAAGTTACCAACATAGCTCAACATAGCAATCTCAAGTGGCAAAGAGCCGGTCATCTCTGTCGAAGAAGCAAAAACCGTTAGGGTAGACGAGTTCGAAACGGTAGATTTATAAAAATTGCCAGAAAGTAAAAAGACTTAATAAATTATTTTCATGAGTTTGTATTTTACTTTATTTTATTTTGGTCCGTTAACCGAAAAGGTGCTTTTTAAATTCTTACTTCGTTTAAAAATGCTCTTAGCAATATAAGCTGTTTTAGAATATAAAAAAAAAAAAAACGCTACTCAAATTATCGCATAAACCATTTTTGGATATTAATCATTTCTTTTTTAAACTATAAAGCAAGTAAATAGCAAATGAAAAGGTTAATAGTGTGTTCCAATTTTAAAGGTTATATTTTTCGCGCTATTCATACCTCTGTATGCGTAGTGTAATATCGGTTAGTAATTTTAGCTATATACGTTCTTGTTCAAGGCAGCAAAACGACACAGTTTGTTTGTTAGTTTAGTCATTCGGTCCCTCATTCATGTAGGTAACGGTTATGTGATAACGTGTTCCCGTGTTTGTTGTTTAAATTTCACGATATAAACATGGCGCTGGTCTCGGCAGAGAAAAAGGTTAGTAAAATAAAATATATTTGTGAGCTAAATTTTTGGCGGGAATTTAATAAATCTAGTAAGATACATAACGTCATTCGCGTATAGTTTTGCTGTGAATTTTGTGCGTATGATACGATCAGTGTTTCTTTAAACCATGACCTACGACGGTTTTTATTCGCCTATTTCTTCTTATAGAGTATTTATGTAAATTGTTATAAGTATTAATAGCGAAATTTAGATGGGTTTGATTTAAAAAAAAAAATTGGTACCATCAATCGCATTATATTTTTTGAGAAAAAACAATAACGTCATAATCCTATCATAAATTTTAAAAATATAAGTAGTAAAATCACCAAATAACTAATTTACTCTTTTAGTTAACTTTAATTGGGATTTTGGCGCGCTAAAAATCAAATTGACACAAAAATAATTCGTAGTTCTTAAAATGTATCCAAATGTGCTTAAATAATTTTAACATAAATTTTCGTATTGTTCAAAATATTGCTAAATACTT